ATACTTACCATTGCTATATAGTATGCGCTAAAAAATTCGAGAGTTTAAGGTCATTACTATGAATTTTATCTTACACTTTTACACTTAATTTTCATCAAACGTCACACACTGATTGATTGTTTTTTTTTTTTACCTGTAAGAGCACAGGTGGGGTCCCGGTCTTGTCTTATTTTGCACTTGGAATCTGTCGCTCTATATTTGTCTTCACTCGATGGTTAATTTTTGTTTGATGGTTCAAAATACTAGAAACTGGATAGGTCACTGCTTTTGTTGAAGACCAGAAAATGGCGATTGGTGTCTCTAGAGAGCTATAGCCAAAAGGAAAAAGCTGTCGTGTTTGTATGTGCACGTGTGCTTATCATCCCGGAAGTGATACCCATTTGTATATTCTACAGTCTTAATCAATCATTTTCCAAAAAAATCTCAGCAAAGACAAACATTATGTACGTGTAACAACACAAATTACATCACCCATGTATGTCGGCATAAGTAATCCCCTTCAGGAACCTCCTCAAGAAACACAATCACATTTTTGATTCTTCCTCGCATTTTTCTTTCTCCCGGACCTCGTATTTCTTGAAGGCGTTCAGGAAATCACACTTTAACGGAATGATTTCGCGTTCAAACAAATACTTTGCTAAGAACGAAACCGAGACAATGGTAGAAAAAGAAACAATCATGGACAGAGTACGGAACGGAAACAGCTGACCCTTAACCTCATCATAAAATGGATATTTAATAAAGGCTGGGAAACCAATTTTATCTTCCCCTCCCCCCACGCGCAGAAAAAGGCCAAATATGTACCCTGTAATGGAGCCGTAAGTGTTGGAGGCTTTGAAATAGATAACACAGCACAACTGTGGAAACAGTATCACAAACACCAGGTCACTGCACAGATGAAATAACGCGTAGATGGAACCAACTGACAGAGCCATGGCTGTAGCGGCCGCGCCAACTCCGAATATGGCAAAACGCATCACCCACACAACTTCTTTCTCGGAGGCCTGGAAAAAGGAAATATCGTATTAAACATGTTTCATGTCTGCTCGTGCTGTCATTATTTCTATACAAGGGGACATTCTCGGAGTAAGGAACTTTAAATAAGCTTTAAAAAAACATAAATGCAAGGCCGAAATGTTTTCGAATGCGTCGCCCCCGCAATATTGCTTTTTTCATATTCCCAAAGTCGCAGGTGCAATATGGACAGCATCTGTCTTCGTCACAGTTAGAACCGAGCTAAACTCTCCAACCCAGTCACAAGAAGTTCGTGCGACAGATATTGCCTCTAAGGAGAGGACTCGTCGAGGCTCTAGAAATCAAGCTTGAGAACTGATCCTCAAGGCTTACCTTCTGTCTGAAGACCAGTTTGTAAATGTTATGGGCAAACATGGAGCTGGCCGAGAGCATACTGGAATCAGTGGACGACATGACAGCAGCAGACACAGCACCCAGACCAATGAAGGACACAGCTGTTGGAGTGAGGTACTGAAGTACCATGGGAAGGATCAGAGTCTTATCGACATATACTGAGGCTGTTTGGTTGGCGATGTTATCCTCAGGTGGTTTGTAAAACGACGTTTGGGTCCAATCTGCAGAGAAAATATTGCACTGAGTTAGACCGTAAGTTCCCACTTGGTTATCGGACAAGGACCTTTTGCATCATCTTCCGTGGCTATTAACCAGTGAAAAACATGCATATTTTAGTGTTTATGTTTCATATACAAGGATAAATTTTAAAAGAACCTTTTCTTATTAGCTTATTGTAAAATATTGTTTAACAGATATTTCAAATTGAAAAAAAAACACAACTTGCATACAGAAGAGCTGATTTCAAACACGTTGTTTCCCCTTTGAGTACGAAAGTAAGTTGGCAACCAAGTAAGACAGAACCGAATTGAGACCTCAAGGGTAAGATTAGCATTTTCATATCAAGTTACCTGTTGAGGCACCAATGGCTCCGATGAGTATTGCAGGAACGGCCATGATCATACATCCCAAAGAAGCGTTCAGAGACAATATCCGAGCCTTTCCTGGTGTCTTGCTCGACAACACACGCTGAAAGTACACTTGCCATGGAAGGCCACCGCAAATCTGGACAGGAGAAAGGAAGCATGAAATTGAAGACAGAAGAACCTTAAAAAGGCCAGAAGACAAGCATCGTTTGCTTCGCTGCTTTAATTATTAAATTCTATCGAACACTTTAAAACAGTTTCCCCAAAAAACTTCAAGCAAATCCTTAACATTAGTTTGCTACAGTGTAACGCTGGAAATGAAGAAGCTTACTAGCAGCATGGCATAGTCCAGCCAAACTCCAATCTGATCAGTAGGTATCTCTCCAACCCATTTGCTGGAATCTTCTGTGATACTGGTCACTGCTTTGTGAGTCATGGCGAATGGAATACTGAGCCACTAGTAAGTAAAGAGGAAGGTGTGTGACTAAAACGAGGGCAAATACTGTATAACACGTAAACCAAAAAATTATGATGCAAAATATGTTTTTGTCTCTAAGTCATGAACAGTTTAACAACGCACCATCAGTCAAATGGCCCAAAGCTTGGGTTATTTTACAATAAAAACTCCTACTTGACACATGGTGCACTTGTAACAGAATAGGAGACTGCTGACTACACTCACCAATCCAACGAAGATGCAGATGAGTTGTATTACATCAGTGTAAACCACAGAGTACAGTCCACCCATTAACGTGTAGAAAATAGCAATGCACGCAGAAACAACCACAGAAGTGAAGCGATCCAAGCCGATAACAACACTCACAGTGGCACCAAGAGCTGACAAGATGGCGCCAGACCAAAATACTTCGCCCAACAATGCTGGAATATATAACAATCCACCCATACGTGGACCGTACCTTTCCTGGAAAGGGTCGATCATGGTGATGTACTCTCTTTGGCGCATGATCTTGGCAAAAAGAAGCCCACCTACCGGTAAAAATATTCACAGATTTGTATAAGTAATCGTATGGGGCTGATTAGAATAAAAGACTAATATCACACGCGTTTTTAGAGGTGAAAAACTCGGGCAATTTCTGCCACTTCTGAAAACTCGTGTGACATCAATCCTTTATTTTACGAGGAAGCAAGCGATTACTCGTTTATTATAAAGAGGGTCAAAAACGCGGGCTGTTACGCACTTTCGAGTGTTTAGTTAGCGTTATTGAACTATGAAACGCACGAATCAGCTGAGTGAATTTTTTTTGTACAACGGCGCAGAAGTAATACCCTGAGTGCCAGAGGGTTTTTTTCTTAATTCTTTTAAGCTTAGATCGCTTATTGCAGCCATTTTGTTGCTCTGTACTTTTGCCCCGTTTTACAATGTAATACTTTAGCATATTTTACGCGTTTTCGTGACTGTGTTTGGTATAATGACAGAGTAGTGTAAGAACTCCTTGATCTTGAAGGATTTGTGTTTCTTTTACCCATGGGAACAGAATTTAGCAGAGGTAAATCCACGAAATGGATCTTCATCCATAGTGTCCCTACTCAATCAGAATTTATAGCTTATTTTCGGAGTAGGGAAAACCACCTAACCTAAATAAATACCCATGAGATAAAGATGAACACCAACAAAAAACTCAAACCACATGTCATGCAAGGTTCTGAATTTAAACTCAGGTCTCAACGGAGAAACAAAAACCGAATTATGGTTCATAGTATATTAAATTTTATTATTGCTAATGTTGCCTTCTCGGTGATCTCGGATATAATTTCTCTAGCCATTCACAATACTACAGACAGCATTTTGAACACTCGGGGAAAAAATTGCAGACCCTAAAAGAAATTCTTTACGTGTTTGTCTTGCTCACCTAACCCCAGGCTAAGAGCGTAGCCCCAGGGAGCCTGGGCCCAAACGAGACCTTGGTCTTTATCAAAGAGCACTTCCGCTGTACCATTGATGTATCCTCCACCGACCCATGTTGCTATGGAAACAAACAACTTATCAGGTTTGGAAAATTAACAATCAGAGGACTTTGAGACTTGTGTTAGTTAAATTATAAGGGAGGTGAACTGATTCGTAGATAATTTATAGGAGCTTTGTTACCCAGTTCCCTGGTTTTTCATTAAATTCCCTTAAACACACAAATGATTTTTGTTTTGTCTTCAAATGGATTCTCAGTTACGTTCAAGAGAGTTTCAATTTTGACATCCGATATACATTGGGATTTTCGGTTTTTGTGCCAAAATACTTCGTTTTTTCGGTTTTGGTCTTCATTCTAGTTTGCGGAGTTTCCGTTTTTTAGCATTTGGTTTTCGGTTTTCGCCAATAATACAAACGGGCTTTCGGATTTGGTGTCGAGGATCCAAAAAACTAAAATAATAACTCAATAATTAAATAAGAAATATTAAAATAAAAATATATTAAAATAGAAAATATAAAAATAAAAATAAATATAAAACAAAATAAGAAATATAAATAAATATCAAAGTTAAAAATGAAGTAGAAATAATAAATGAATGATTAAATAATAGTTAATGATAACA